AGCTATTTGTTTGCATGTCCAAATCTTTTCCACCATTAGCAAATTTTTCCTGATCTTTTATGAAAAATTTTTGTATTTTGGAAGAGCTTTATTGTAATTCATCTTAATTTTTCATAAGCTTCCAAAGATAATTCCATAAGCTAGGTCGTTCATTTCTTTCATATTCATTCTCATATTTATTCATTCTATATTACTTTATTCTATTTGCATTAATTTGTAAAAACCTGCATTAATATGATGAGTTTTGGATGACTTTCTATTCATTCATTGCCTGGTTTTTGCTATATGAAAAGCATTTGTTATTCACGGTTTCCCACTTCCTTTCATGTGGTCTTCTTCTCATTCATTCTTCTATTTTGTTCTCTCTCACATTCAATTTCATTCGCCTGTTCAATCATCATTTATAATCAGATATGTTGCTCTCATTCCTTTATTGTTTGCATTGTTGGTTTTGGTCTTTTTCTATTTCATATTATATCTTAAGGGTCATTCTATTAATGGTCTTTCCTTATCTCTTCTTCTTTTAGGATTCTACAGGCACTTCATTATTATTGGCCAATAGATTTAATGGTTCATTGTTATTCTATTTTAATTTCTTTGCTATTTCTCTATCTTTCATCTCTTAAAAACAATATACGCTCTTTAAATTTATAGGTTGCTCCCCGTCTATTTATTTTATATATCTTATTGTTTTTTGGGCTTTATAAGCTCTGGCATGGCAAAAAAAGGATGGTTTCTTTCATTATAAAAGATGATAACAGATAAAGCCCAAAATTAGGAAGAATATGATGGTGAAAGATATTAAAACTATAGCCTAGCGGATGACCCTTGGCAAAAATATAAAATAGATTGCCAAGTCATGATTATCGATAATGGAATAGGTAATAATGAATGATCCAACATTAAAATTTATAATAACCTTTTCTTTAGTTTTAGTGTTGGGAATGAATGGTCTTTGTCTGGGGGTTGTAGCTGGGGTTCTTACAATTTTATTCGTAACTTTCCAACATCAGGTTCTCCAGCTACAACCGTGTAACACCTTATGACTGATATTATCTGTTGTCTCTTTTTTATCAATCATCATGGTGTTTATTGTCTATTATGGGTTCATTCACATTAATTTTTCTTCATCATATCTTTGTCTTTTCACAATGAAAATTAATGATCATAACTTTTATTTCTTATCTATAATCATGATCACACAATTTATTTTATATTCATGTGTGAGGTTAGCGGCTAGTCCATTTATATTACTTGGTATTTTGTTGTATCTTTCGTACGTTTTCTTTGGTCGTCCAGGCTCCAATTTGAAAGGGATATATATTCTATCTTTTTAATTTATGGGAGAATTTTCCATTAAATGACTTATGGAAATTCACTGATAATAATAAAATATGATGACCATTAATTTCCTCCACAAGCATTCTTTATTACCAAACAAAAGGAAAATGTCAATAAATTAATTAATGGTCATCCTCCATATATATAGAGACTAGCATGTTTATAATCGCTTTTTGACAGCGATCACATTTTTCATAAAATTGGCAGGGAATTAATAAAGAATCATGAATTTTCTAGAAAATCTCTTATTGAAAGTTCATGAATAAGAAAGAAAAGAAGTGAATGATCCAATATTTTCCATGGGTTAAGATATGAAAGGGGAAATATTGGTGAATGAACCTTGCAATCACATCCTAGATCTGGAGGTGAATGATAAGGGACAGATGTGATTGTAAGGGCTATAGAATTTATGATCACTTATTAAAAATCGCTTATTAATCCATAACTGTTACAGCATATTTATTATTCATGGCATTAAAATCCTTAAGTAATTTCAATAGTTTTTAATGCATTATTTATTATTACCACCTAAATTAAGTGGACTTGATATTTTCATTCTAAATTGTATCCGGGGTCAATTGCTAGGTCATTAATTATATTGGAAATCGCCAAAAGAGAAAGAAAGTATAAATGGGCGATTTCCTCATATAAAAAGAATAAATGTTTGTGTCCCGTTTTTTTCTTTGTGTTTGTGTGTTTTTCCTTGTCGTTTTTTATCTGTGCTTTTTGTAAGTGAGGTCACCTGGGAATCCATCCCCTTTATATAAGTGATCGATAGGCGGGATGGATTCCTGGTCACATCTGGGCGCTCGTGCTGATCGATGCAGCTGTCAGATGTACAGCGCGTTCGGCTTGAGTTGAGCGTGCTAGTGCGGGATGGAGAAATGCTTTGGACGTTTGACAATCTTTAGCACAGCTGTGCGCCTCATAGGGCGCATTCTTCCCAGCCACGGGGCCCCCCCCCCCCGGCCAGCAAACGAAGATGTCGGGGACCATTTCTCCGAGAGATAGGCTGCAGCTCTGGGTTAATACATTTTTGCTAAAGCAAAAGGAAAACTCAGGTAGCGTAACCGCTACCTTTCGTGAAACTCTTTCCTATTTACATGGCAGCCTTTTCAGGAAGCTTTTCTTGGAGTGTATCATCCCACATAAACTCATTCTGGAAAGGGGGTAGGTTGGGGTGAAGATATGGTACGAGTACTTGGATGCAATTCGCACCCAATTCTGGTAAATTATGGCAGTTATATAATTCAGATATAGAGGTCGGACCTAGTCACTTCCTGGGCATGTTTAATTTAGCAAGTCCTAGTTGTTTTCCAGTCAGACTCAAACGAAACACACCACATAATGCAGATATTGCCAGAAATTCCCGGAAGATTCTGGATGTCATGCGATCACCCATGTATTTCATGGGTAGGGAGGTCAGGGCTGCTGCCTCCGATGTGTCTAAAGAGCCCACAAGGAAAAGAATGGAATTGCACAATGCAATACTTAAACCTGTGGCCTGTGGCTGAGAAAAACTATTGTGCAAGTAGCTTCTTGTTCCTAGTAGCTCCGTATTACTAGTAGCGATGCCAGGAGCCCCTAGTAGCGTCCTTGCTCCTAGTAGTAAGGCCAGGAGCCCCTAGTAGCTTCTTGTTACTAGAAGTTCCTTGAAACCATAACTTCTCCATTATATAGTTTCTCCATGTTCCATGTTCGCTGGGGTGGGAGCCAAATTTATCCGCACATGCCCCTTATGTCTGCAGCGCACCCAGAAACCTGACTAGTTCGAAGTTAACTGGTGACTATCTTCTTTCAGGTCGTTAAGGCCCTAAAGTTAACTTCGAACTCTAAATAGCAACGATTTCATAAACAGTACTTGGAGACCTGACACTATGTCAAAATAATTTGCCTCAGCTTGAGGGTATGGATTTTTAGCATGGGACATCAGATCATGGGCTCGTGGACATTTCGGGGCCCTAACAGTAGAAGCGATGAAGCAATGAATTGTCTGCTCCAGTTCTGTATCTGCTGCATATGTCCTACAAGTCTATTGTAATTCATCTGCTATCAATCCTTACATAAATTACATGTGCAGTTCCAAGTCCAAGGAGGAGATTGAAATTTGAACAATTAACGTATTATTTTCTTTTAAGGATAGCATCATTCACGAAAGTTATTAAGAATGATTCAAGAACAAAGTGAGATTGCCTTTATTTGTGCTACAATTGTCTGGGCTTCATAATCACTACAACTGCAAAATGGTAGGTACATAGGGGGTCAGTAGATTATATCTATGTGACCATATAGATATATACAGGATATATCTGTGTGGAATCTGTTGAGCCTAGAAAAAAAGCAAAAAAAGAAAGAACACCATCGCGAAACCATCTTGGCCACAGCCAGGGATAATTTGGACATGTGGTCTTTGCGGTTTTCCAATTTGTATGTATGCTCAATGCAACTGCTTCAGCATCTGCATCTTCTTTATATCTGGGTGCGTTATGTGTTTAATATATCTTATGCTTTTCACAGGGCCCCGAAAAGCACGCGCGCCCATGTGTATGTATCTATTTATACGTAGTTATTTATGCAACGTCATAATAAATAATAGTAATGGTTATAGTAATAAAAATAATATATATATTATATAGATATATATATATGTATGCTATGAGCAAAATACAGATTGATACCAGCTAAACGATGCTGTTGCCTCAGCACACAAGTTTTGCTGCACAAATTCACTCATGTTCGAATTCCAGCTGTCCGGATGGTCGCAGCATCCGGTTTCGCCTGAAACCCAGCACTTTCTTGTGATTTGGTCGTCCTGTTCGCTGTGTTCATATCTTTAATGTGGTGTATTGTCTTTTTCGCGTAGGATCCAGCGTTTTGTGTGTCTTCAGTAAGGATTGAAGATTGCATGCTCAGCACTGCTCTTGACCTCCGAGAAATATACGCAGGTAGACTTGTTTAAAGTCAAGCCGAGAGAGCGTAACTGAATCTGGTCACAGGCCAAATGTACTATATTAAGGTAGCATATCTTGCGGTTGGAATTGGAGTGTCTTGGGAAAGTCATCTGATTGAGAGTGAAACTGGAGGTGCTTAGCTTTTCACCCTTCCTGTTCAATGAGTTTTCCGCTGGGGCAAAATTGCTAAGTGAGCTGGCCCGTGGCCCGTGTATGGACAAAAGACCCTTTTCGACGTGCTCCTTTCACAGCTCCCGGTCTCTGCACCTGAGCGTGCCGGGTCAGCATTCCATATTCCAGACCTTCTACGAATCATCAGGACACTCTTGCTCAATGGTTTCGTAGCTGGTTAGGAGCCAGTTCGTACACCATTGACTTCATTCCTAGATTCTAGATGTTCCTAGCTTTTAAGGAAACTTAACCTTTATGAGCTTTCTAATTGGCTGGACATGATTGGAACTGAGACTTTGGCTCCAAATCTTGGTCAAACCATCATCATAGGTGGCTGCCAAGAACAACCTTTCACCAGTTGGGGTTGTAGACAACACTCCGTACTAAAAATGCAGAAAAACAGGAAAGAGAACGCTCAATCCTGAGCGTGGTTGTAACTGTATATGCATTTGGGGGCCAAAAGATCCAAAAAATTAGGAGCAACGGCCCAGCAGTGCACTTCTCTTGATTCCATTGAGCAACTCTGGATATCGAATGGCCACAACCTGAGAAAACGATGCAGAATCTGTGCCTGCTGGGGCAAAAGTCCATGAATCCAATTCCAACTGCAGTTGTTCCGGATTGTGCAGGTGTTTGTGTATGTGTCTCAGGTTGCTGCTGTACACCCATCGGACAGCTTTGCATCTTCCAGGGTCATGGCCGGCTGCAGCACCTGCGATCTTAAGCATAGTATGTTCATTCTCATGTTGACAGGTGCAAAGGACTCTCAATCTTTCAAATCAGCAATTGCCCTCTCCTGTCGGCCCACTTCAGAGACAAATGGATCTGCACCCTCACCACTTGCCCAGAAATGGGTCTGCCTCTACTCTCAAAATCCTGTGACCTGTGTGTTCAATTTCTGACAGGTCCCTGGTATTCTTCTTGAGAGAGAGAGAGAGAGTTCCTTTAATCTGTCATGCCGATTTTGCAAGAGTCCACATGTGAGACCCCAAAACCCCCGATCCTATATGCCTTCGGGCACCATTTGGCTTGTTCTTCAAAGAGGTGCTGAATCATCTTTCGTGTTAACTGCCGGCGTCCAAATTGTTGAGGGGAATTGCGACTTGCACAAAACATGCCTTCGACTATTGGCTACGGGCTTCCTTGCGCTTTCATTTGGAAGCCTGACTTGCTGCACCTGCCTCTGCGTTGAAAGCCAGCATCATCTCAAGGTCATCGGCACGCGCCTGCAACAAAAGCATATCGCAGGAATAATTACCAAGATCTTTTTCGTTTTCATCCAAGAAGCTACTAGTAACAAGTGCATTACTACTAGTAACAAGAAGCTATTAGTAACAA